GTCAAACAGTGGGTCGAATCAAAATGTCGAGAGCTGCACTTTTTCCTAATGGAGGAGGTACACGGACAGTTAGAAATATCGGTGATCTTGGTTCCCAGCCTTTCGCTATCGAGATATTCCTGAGCCGTAAAAATTTTCGCTGTGGTGTGATCGCTAGGTACAAGGAATCAAAGAAGCTGAATTCCTTCGGAACAATTCGAGAAAAGAAGGCTCATATCCAGGCTGAAATGTGGTCGTCCAACAAGGAATTGCAAGACGGCCTGCTTCTTTCAGATTTAAACAAGGAATTTATGGGCACAGAGAAAACCTTCGACGAGAATCTGCAGCTGCATGTTGTCTCTGAACACAAGTGGGACAAGGCGTATTGGCTCAACCGCGCCAGAGGAACGAATGACGGAGCTGAAATCAAGACGTTTCTTCCCGACAATATTGGCTTGCGTTGTCCAAGTCAGTTGTCAAGCGACTCGTCCATCTTCCGAACATGCGTTTTATTTCCTGACGACGAGAAAAACGGCGATAAAGAAGAAATGCATAAGGCGGTGGTCACGTATGTTGATGGCATCTTAAACTCTGTAAAGCAAGGACTCTATTTCTGAGAGCTTTCCATCAATCCTGGTGTTCTGATTTAACGCACCATCTCAGTGATATGCGTATATTCCAACTTATTAACTCATCTTGTGACATGTGACTCCATTACTCATATCTTTGTTTGCTCTCAAAGTAGTTTAGTGGACTTTATCTATTTTATAAAGGCACTGAGAAAGCAATGTAGGAGGAAGAAGAGAAAGTTATAACACCTCATAACGTAAACTGCCGCTTCTAAGCCCTGGGCTTACACAACTTCATAAGGGGTTTTAGGAGGGTGTATAAACAGAGGGGCTCATAGCCGAGACGGCTTATAACCGAAATGGAAAAAACCCTTAGAAACGAGCTATAGAAGCTCTGATCAAAATAGTTTTTGCCTTTCTGATGGTTCGAGTTTATTTCCTTCATTATTTACTGAGTTACAGAGCGGAGCCTAACCTCCCATACAAAGGTTTGTAATATGATCCTCTCATATTTCCAATATGGTGGCCTTACCATGTGGTTGCGGCGTTTTGAAGAGGAAAGTTCAAGTCTAGGTCCAAGTCCCTAATGCCAAGCTCTGCATACTAGAAAAATGGTAATTGAAATACAAAGCCTTCCCCAATAACTTGAGGCCACTGAATTTTTGATATGCAATTTATATTTATGTATTTTAAGAATTAGAAAAACTTTTTCAGAGGGTACAAATCTCTGTCAATCGCAACTCATTCTCTAATTTCTTTTTTACTATTCCTTGCTTCCATTTGTCTAAAAAGTACAATTTATTATTCCCTATAGATAAGAGTATTTAAGAGTGTATCGTACCTCAGCGCACCTCTTACTATTTCTCCGAAAACTGTTTTTGAAGTTGACGGCTTTTGCTTTGCGAAGCTTGGTATTTTGACTGTTTGCTCGCGCGAAGTCGGTAATATAGCCTTACAGTAGAGGAGAAATTGTGACAGATTTGACTAAAAGTTACTAATCACCGATTTAACATAAGCAGCAGTGACCAAAAGAAAGCATTTTGGAATTACAGGCAATTCCCCAATTAAGACAGCCCCGAAAAAAGTTCAAACGTACCAGCGGAAGGCAACGTCCATAAAAGACCAGCTTGAAGGAGCTTGTTTTCTAGTGCAAGCAGCTCCTCTAGTAATACCATCCAACCCGAAGAATGGTCATATGTATCATAATTATAAACCAAAACTTCACCTCAAGTCGAGGTTTCTCTGCTGTGAAAGGACACTTGAATTTAGCACTGTGAGGCTCGTCAGGACCGTCTCCTTTGCATTTGTGGCAGAACTTATTTCCCAAGTAAGTTAAGAGGCAGCCATCGACAGCAATTCCTTGCGAATCATACCACGCCTTTAAACGACAATCGAAGAAAACTTCAGTTACACGAAGGACCCACACTAATGTGAGGCTTGAGATTGACACAGACAAGCATGATTACAATAGTCTGCAAATCTAGTTGTGGTATATCTTTATGCGTAGGTATCTTTTTATTCTATTTTTGTGTTATTATAAAAAAGATTATAAAAAACATCATTGTGAACTACTCATGACCACACACATCTCGGGTCTGCTTCAAACGCTTCGAGGGAATAAAAAAATTAAGGCAGAGCATGTACTTTCCATCATCTCACATTCAAATTTTCTTGAGATAAGGGATTGTTATGTCCAAAAAAGGAAAAGAAAACAAAGGTGTTTCGGTGTTTTCTGATGGAGAAGGATCGATTCTTTATGGTAGGGGAACCTCCTCATTAACATTCAGTGGAACATGGGCCTAAAATACACTCACTCCTTGGCCAAACGTACGGTTCTCCTTGTTTGCACGCGGTTGGAATACTTGCCGTGCTATCTGATTGGTCATTTGCCGACTTCCTTCATTTTCTTGAATCAAATTATCTATTTTTCTCTCCTCTAAACAAAGAGACGAAACAGCTCATTACCTCGCCCTGTTTTGAATCGAGCTAACGAAATCATTACAATACGCGTCTGTTGTATTGCTATCTTTCATAATTTGAAATTCTTTAGAAATACTCATAGCCTTTGCGGCTTTAGTAGAACAACAACACTTTCGTCCCTTTTTTTGTTTTATGACCCCATCACAAATGTGTGATCGAGGCCATCAACAAATCTAGCATATCGCCCTACCTGTTAGGGGAAATTCATAACCGAACTTCTCAAAGTAGATCGTTTGTAACTTGAACACCAATTCATTTAGGGTCTCACTCTGTCCATTCTGAGAAAGCTCAAATCAAAAGCAAAGTAAAATAACTGAGCAGACATAAATGATAACTCCTGTCAAAACTCACAAAATTAATTAGAACGGCGTTGCCAGCTTACCCGATCTTCCTCACCCGAAGCAGGAGTGTCAAAGTGTGTCCTCCAGAGTATTATCAGTGGGACCGACAAAATGTTGAAAGGGACTGGTATCGGATGATAGGAGCTGTAAGTCCGTACAGTAATGGCTCTCTTGAAGGACCACTCCTGGAGTGAATTATTCTAATAATGGAGAGACAAAGAAGGACTTATTAGTCAGTAGACGTACCAATGTGTAGGAAACACAGGCACCACTCCCTTAGCAGAATAAAAACTATGATGTATCATAAACAAGAAACAATCTTAAACATAATTTTCGTCTGTAAAACCTCATTCTTGAATGTTCAGTCCGAAACTACGAATCCAATTTTGCGGACGGGTTACTGAAAAAGGAATTCCATTCACGAGAGCCTTGAGCCACTCCTCTTGGGGTGACCATCGCTCAGGCAAAAAAAAAACAATTGGGTATCATAATATGGACATTTTTGACCAGCTGGATTAAAATATTGGTAGCCGAAAAAAAATTATGCATGATCATAGAAATTTATCAAAGTTAAGAAAAATGTATCTGATATCTTATGCCAAAAAGAGTCCATTCCGGATCACGAAAAGAATAAATTACTTTCGCTAAGGTAGAAAGATTGTTTAGTACCTGAACCTGCTGATAGGTATTGGAGAGCAAAGCAATCATCATGTTAACGAGAAGAATAACTACCATGATTAAGAAGAAGCTGTACAGCAGATAAATCAGATAAACGGAACGACTGTCGACGGAATTCAACTTATCTTGGTCAGGTAAACCCAGTAAAGACCAGCCTAGGTGCGTCGCCATGTTCCACCAACTGAAGAACAGTTTCAAGAGTAACGAATTGGCACAAATAATCATTCAGTTTTTTTTTTAATTTAGAGCATAATATCCGCCACAGCTTCTTCCGAACATCCGCGTCCTGAAAGCAATCATATCACTTCTCTTTCATCGATCATTTTTCAAGTTTATCGAAAAATATTGTATAAAGGTTCTGCCGTTGAGGAATCAATGCAGGGAGAATTTAAACTAACCAGCCACTTTAAAGCCCTTCGAACCCGCGGCGAGAACCTTTTGTGCAATTCGTCGACAGTTATGACACGGTCGGCCTGGATACAAGTCAAAATTACCCCCAAAAGCACCCCATACAGTGCAAAACTTTTATAGAATATTTACTTGAAGGACAACTATCTGACTTTCGCGATGCAGTCTCGTAGTAAGTAGATGTAATTTAGTCCGAGAATCGTGCAATTTTACGAGAGTGGGATAATCTGTTGGTCTGAGGAAGCGTTTCTCCCCTTCCTTCTTCGCACAGGCAGTAGTGGGATGAAAGTTCAGCTTTAAGTCGACAAAAAGGCCTAAATTCGCTACCAGAAAACGAAAATAACATAAGCAACACTAAGTAAAGGTTAGAAGTTATTTGCTCAATTACTTACGGAGTTACATAGCGGAGCCTAACTCCCATACAGGACTTTATGATATAATCATCTCATAGAGAGCTTTGGCTCCCTGCCGATCGTCGATCCAAAACATTTTTCTTTCGAGAATATTTGTCAGGTCTATCACGTCAAACGTCAACATATTTATGTCTTAGAATGCATTATATTTAAGATAAACTTAAACGTAAGGGATACCACAAGGAAACAGAAGCAGGGACGATAAATACTGGATTTTTTAAGACGGGATAAACCGCAAGGTACCTCTTTTAGCAAAGTAAACTAAATAGCTGGCTCCTTGCAAAGAGTTTGAGAAGCGAAGACAAATAAATAAGTCGCGAAACTGCAAGAGGAATGGGAGCAAAAGATCGTTACTTTAGACGCAGCTCTGCGCCTTGTGTCGTAACTCTGCTGCCTCGAAAAGTAACGGCGTCCTTTCTGAGAGTTTTCATGATGAAAAATGAAAAATTTTGGTGAAGCTAAACCGGTACTTGTTGTCTCTCGGCAGACCTTACAATTAATTTCCCTTTCCCTAAGGCATATAGATAGCCGACCGTTAATCAATGTTTAACACGAGTGAATCCTATAGCTGACGTACTGCGGGGTCGCTGACTTTCTTGCTTCACAATTTCCGCCTACAATCCTGAGTTTTAAATTAGCACGACTTATTGAAAACGAAAAATTAAATTTTTAAGAAAATATGGAATTTTGGTATATTTAAGACATCAGTGTAAAGCTTTAAAAATTAGAATAAAAAACAACATCAACAATTTTACCCTTACCAAACTATCCCTGATTCACCACATGCCCTTAAAATGATAGGAGCAAATAAATGGTTAAAATTTACGAACAGTCCTAAAAATATAGTTAAAACACTACCTTTTATAGAAAGTTTGGCATTCTGATTTAAGTAGTTTTACGCTCCTGTTAGTCTTCCCATCGAAAAGCTAAATCTCACTTGAATTAGCGTTTAGTCAACTGTTTCTTCCATTGGGCGCCTATACTCAAATGAGGTTCCTCTTCAAAACATCAAAGGAAAGCTCTTCTACCCCACTAGCTACCTACTTTCAAAAGCAATTATCCTCTAACGGAAATTGAAAAAGAAATGAAAAAGTCCAGCAAGTTAGAACATGTCATTCATAGCTTCGAGCTGATACAGAAAGATCACGATCTGTACTCACAAATTCTCCGCGGAATCTTTTCCAGAGGTATAGGCTTTCTCAGCAACATAAATCTTGGTGATGGCCAGAGAAAAGGCCAGAATCATACACAAAACCTGCCAAAATATCGTAATCACATCCCAGATAATAAGGAATAAGGCGATTTGTATTGGACCGATTCTCCGCACGGACTCCACGACTTGACCAAAGGTTCTCAGTGCGAGTAACATGGCAATAAAGCCATAGAAATACTCCGACACAGCCAAAAGTCTGTTGTCTGACACGTCCGTGGAGTATCCCCAAATGATCATGCGTAAGATGAAGGTAATGAGGTAGAAAACAAGAGTGATGAAGTCAAGCACATTCCAACGGTCACTATAAAAGTAACGGATATCAACTGCATTCGAAGAGCATAATTAAACATAGTCAGTTCAAAGATCGCATGTCATTCACATGCAAGAGAATCAGTCTTAGCATGCAGACTATATGTTGTTACATTTTTCGCCAAGAGAAATATTGAAAAAACTAGATTACCATTAAAATAAGAGCTTTATGCTGATTGTTTATTTTTCTCTTGCTTGTAAGTTTTAAAGGTACTGAGGCGTTTAAAACTTTTATAAGTCCATTCTCGACGAGAACAATCGCCAGCACAGTCATTTTTAACGTTTAGGATCCCGACATGGGTGAAACCCAATTTATGACCTGCTGGTACCTAAAAAAAAGAATATGCAGCAACCCATATTTGCGTACCTTAAAAAATAACATGGGCGCATGATGGTGTATCCAAAAATAAAGAGATGCTCATGTACTACAGTGCCTAAATATGTACCAATAAGGCAACTCCTGATACAAATCAGTGTGCTTAAATAAAGACCTTTGGCGCATACTGGTCCACCCAGCTAATGTACAGTGGCCATATTTATGTGGCAAAACAATGAGCATGGAATCATAATGGCGTACCAAAAACATTAAGCCTTCATGTAGCCGCGCACCCCCCCCCCCTTTAAGAAAAGGGAAGGAGGGAACGTCTACTAAAACCTGACACGAATCGTGTTACATGACGACAGTGTAATCTATGCAAAATTATGTGATGAGAGTTTTTTCCGAAGTGGCACTTGCTATCGATCGTGAAAAGTAATCGAGGTAAATAACAACATTCAAGTGAATCATTTTTTCCATTATTTCGGGTAAATTTGAAATTCAATGTCCGCGTTCAGATACGTACTTAGCCATGAGCAGATTTGATATAATGTAAGAAGAGGACGATGTTCGATTAGCATCGCCCTTCAACGTCCACGCGGTCGTCTAAGAAAGTTGGATTATTCGTCGCAGAATGTCAAGGTTTTACGGAATTACGCTGCAAGTGTGAAGAAGGAGCGAGTCATTTTTCATTTGAATGGATGGCTGCAAGAAAGACCTCGCTTTTTTATTCTCGAAACACCATTCGCAAAGAGACCGAGAGTTGAAGGCGGACAATCCTCTTGGCCCAAGTCCATTGAGATGGCACACTTGGTCTTCCATGAGGGCCTTAAAGGGCGGAAAAGTAGAGTGAACGGTTTCTCCCAAAGAAGAGAGGCGATTGATCACTGGCGCGGCTTAATATATACATATAAGATTTTCCACGGCCTGTTTGTAACGAAATGGAGACATCGTTGCCTTCGAAAAACATATCTGTGCCTTTCTGCTGTTCTTCTTGAAATTTCTCTATCCCAAAAGTCGCACAAAGCTCATTTAAACCTCGTCGTAGATCGCTGTTGTCCGGAAAGGTAACCATGAAGGCACGAGAAAACAACCAGCTCGAACCAATCAGAATTCACGTAAGGATCGACAAAACGGTTAACCAATAAAAAAAATTATCATATATTTTCATGCATTAGAGTGACGCCATATAACACGTAAAAGGTTCCCTCCCTTCCGTTTCTCCGTGGAAGGGAAGGGGGCACGACTACACTAGGCGACAAAACACTGAATACCGGCTCCTACTGATGCACCCACGCATTGAAAACGGTGCACTTTATCAAAGTTTATCACTTTATACAACTCTAAGAAATGAATAGTGGCCCATAGTGTTGCACCCAACCTGGCAATAGTGGTCCATTTCGTTACCTTAGTCAACATGGTAAACATTTTTTCTGCCACTTAAACTCAAGGGTTCACTGGTCGCATAGATGTATGTCATCTACATGTATGTGAACCTCGCTAGTAATTTCTGAAAGTCAAATAGGCCGATCAAAATCTGGAATACCTGAAGTAACCAATAAACTTGTTAAGCCAGATATTGTCATCTTCTGCAGTCTCATTTTCTTCTATGTGGTTGAGTCCATCATTATTTCCCCTCCTTATTGTACATGCTTTTACCCCTGGCTTTGTAGCGGCAATAAACTGATTCACCTCCATTAAAATGCGTCCCAGGAAGAAAACAAAGATAACCCATTCTAGTCCACTGAAGGAAATTGTTGAAGGAAACAGGCAAATGGCGAAGTGAAGACCAAGGAGGGTAAGATAGCTCAGCGTGTCGCGAAAAAAGATGAAATAAGGAGTCGTGAAGTAGTCCTTGTATTTCTCTGGAAGAAAATAAGCGAGACACTTGCCTAGAATGGAGACTCTCGAAAGACAACTCCAACAGCACTAATAGATCTGTCAAAAATTATTCAAAAAAAGTTCTTAAGGTATCACAGAAGGAAAATTAGCGTTTTCATTCAAACCGAAAAGCGTGAAAATTATTCGCGCAATCCATATAAAAGTACACATATTCTCGAAGCTTAATAAACACGGATTTCGGATATTTCGTTTATTTTCTTTCATTCTTGCCATTGAAGAGAATGGGAGCTTATTCTTTCTTGGAGAGACTTTCTTCAAGATGAGTTTATTTCACAACGCTTTTGGTTGACACCTTCTCTCTTTTTGAACAAAGTTTTCCATGTAGAGGCAATATCTCAAATAGTAAAGGAAAAAATCAAAATTCCCAGGCAAACTTTTGGGGTTCATTGCATTTCTGACATTTTCTCCAAATATCACGAAAATTGGCCGAATATTGGCCGAGAATTAACTCTTCAAAGTTCAGAACTCGAGCGAAAACACTTTAAGAGAAAAAGCGACTTGCAGGTTTTCAATGCGTCAGCGTTTGTTTACATAAAGGCGTTCCCACTTCATGCTAGTGAAGGCTGTTATCCAATCACATTGAAGCAAGCCATTTGACACTGTTTTCCCTATCGGCGCTTGATACGTGCAAGAAAGCAAAGAGCAGACACAATCTGTATGGAGTTAGGTCTAGCAGGTTAAGTGTAACACGCGTGAATATGGAGCTGTTTGTGTCAATATGGAAGGTGATTCTACCAGAAAAAAGAGAAGGAAAGAGTTCAGGCTGAGGAAGGAGGGCTACCCTAGAAACGCAACACAGCTTTTCGACGTTCGATGCTCGGAGTGCAATGCCAAGCGAATGATGATGGACCGTCGGCGGTATTATTCCCGAACTAGCGCCCACGGAAACTTCGATAGAAATAAACTCTGGCCACTGAATCTCTCTGAGTCTGGTAAGAACCCCTATCACTATCGGGGAAGTATATTTCCGCTCCGATGCAATCTGCGATAAAATTTTCCTTTTTCCAGAGCGGCAAAAGGAACTTGTCGCTTTTGGATATGATAACAGCTTGTAAACAACACTTGAATTACAAAAACAATCTCTCCATGGATTTAGTTTTCGGAAAGAACTAGGGTAGGTATATTTAATAACGAATGAGCGATTTCAGAACTATACAAAACTGTACAGTGTGCATTGAAAATCAAGAGTGGTTTAAAATCGTTAAGTAGGTGACGAGATCAAGTTAACATGAAGTGTAATCAATCTCGCACCTTTCGTTCTACTCTCGAAATACTTCTTATTTCATATCTCCTGAAGTAAAAAAGATATCTAAATAAAATTTTCATATCAGAAATTAAATTTTCAGGAAATCGAAAAAAATATATTTCTTTTCCTTCTATGTTACCTTAAACGGTCTATGGAAATCTAGCTAGCAAAATTAACCCGTTCTCACCATATATGTCGACGTCCTCTTCCTCGATATCTGTAACAGGAGTGAAACATTTAAACTATAAAGTCAGTAACATTTCCGACCAGCTCTAGCTTAGAATGTAGACTCTCGAAAGAAACCTCCGACAGCACTGACCGTCTATCAAAAATTATTGGAACAAAATCTTAAACGGTCTGTGGAAATCTAGCTACCAAAATAAACCCATCCTCACCAAATATGTCCTGTTCAACGACACCTGTAACAGAAGTGAAACATTTAAACTATAATGTCAGTAACACTTCTGACCGGCTCTAGCTTAGAATAGAGACTCTCGAGGGAAAACTCCGACAGTACTGATCGTTTGTCAAAAATTATTAGAACAAAATCTTAAACGGTCTATGGAAATCTAGAAACAAAAATCAGCCCATCCACACCATATATGTCCTCTTCCGAGATACTTGTAACAGAAGTGAAACATTTAAATCATAACGCCAATAACTCTTCCGAGCAGTGAAGAAAGATTTGAAAGCCATAAGAATATATAACCGCGTAAAACATTTCTCAATTTGAGTTATAACAACTGCTTGTAATACTTTTTTGTTCTCTCCGGAACCAAGTAGGAAAATGATCATTCTGTGGAGGGGTGTCTCATATAGAAATTTTAAATCTCTTGACTACCACAGCTTACTACGCAAAGTACACACGCACTACCATCTAGTACTCTACGATTTCAACTACCTTAATAATGCTACTAAACGATATCACAAACCTCTCCTGTTCCTCAAGACCTGTTTAAACAAATGCACCGTGAAGAAAATGGCAAAGAGCAATGGAAATAAGAGGAAGTCAAACACTGTCCAGAGGTTGAGAAAAAAGTATCCCCAGCGTCCAGGTTTCCGTCATGATTTTTTTCTTACTGGGGAAAAAGAGCCGTACCATGTAGAGTTGAGCAAGTTATACACCGCTGGGTGAGCGATGAACTGCGAAAAAAAATCGTTGTTGTATTACTTTATACCATAAGCTAGGTGTGGATTGGTCCTTACTTATAATCCAGTACAGGAGAGTCTCATGCAACTATTGACAAAATTTTGATCCATTCTTATTTACAAGTATTCTTGCGACACATCAATGACACACTCGGGTACGCCTAGTACGCCACTTTTTCTTTCCTTACCATATTTTGACGTCACTTCTGATCTATTACAGAACAGACGCGCGGTAACATAGTCTACAATCTATTTGTTAAATGTACATTTAAGAAAACTAACAATGCTGAAGCAAGGGTGAGGTTTGTAGAGAGTCTTAATCTTAAAGTTCTGCGTTACGTCATTTGGTGGTCAAACCATCTGCAATGTCAAACAACGTGGCAGTGCAGAACTCACTGTTAAGAAAAAGTTTGTCTACGAGAGGACCAGGTAAGCGTTAAGCATACCATACCACTGATTTCTTTCAAACTTTCGCAGATTGTAACGTTCAAAAATTTGTTCACTAACCTGCTTAATCTTTGGGGTATGAGAACTCTCACATCAAATCCCAGGGTTAAAACCTCAAATTTGCTTTAAAAATTGCACTTTCAACAAATCTCTGTCAAGCCCAAGGAATGTATTGCCTTTTAATCTTTTTTGGTCTAAGCTTAGCATAAGCAACCAGAATTCCAAAGTTGAGGTTATTCCTGACAATTCAGAACAGATTTTGATTAACCATGTCACTCCAAATTTTTTTAGAGGTCGAAAATTCCGAATTCTTAATACTGAATATGGGTAGCATTGTATGTTGTCCAACATAAATTCATAGTGGAAACCTATCATATTACTATGTTTCGGATCAAAAACATTTTGGCCTCTGTAAAATATATTTCTGATCATAACAAAGGTAGCCCAAGCTTGGGTATCCTTAGGAAAGGATTATGTAGAAGGCAAAGCAGCTGAACTAAAAACGCATTTGGATCCGGAAGAAAACTTCACGTCTAAATAAAAAAGTTTTCTTTAATAATAAATCATCATTTAACAGAAAGAAACACAGTGGTTTTTCTCTTATTTCTATGACGTTTCATTTGCCTTTTAGCATGCATGTTCTCCAAAGATGATTCTATAATTAGTGTGAATAATGGAAACTCATTTGCGAAAGAAAGCAATTATGCGTCGATTAATTCGAAGCTGCAGCAACTTTCGGGCAACCTCAGGGCATTCGAACTTTTGCATCGATTAACAGACAGATTATTGAGCTTAAAATCGCTTACTTGCGCAAGTAAAGTTATCACTAGGAAGAGAGCAAACCGAAAAAGTATCCATATTCGTATTTCTGTTTAGTAGTTATCACTATCGTAAAAACCGATGCCGCTAAATTGACATAATACTTTTGGCAAATGCCGCCTTACTTACATGCAAATTATCAATCTCTTTTGCAAATAGCACTAAAAGAATATAATTTTGTTGAGCAGTACTTTTTGGTGCAAGTTGTTTGACTAAGTGCCTTCTTTTATATTTACTTACTTTCCAGCCTCACAACAGGGTTTCCGCCAATAAATAACATGTACATTAATTCTCTCTTCTCTCCCTCAAATCACTTTGGTTTTTCCGCAGAAATAAACTTCGTTGTACTGAATTTGTTTTTAAAAATATTGACACGCAGCCTAAAAACCATTTGAAATTTAAGAATCCTTCTCTAAAAGTAACTAAAAACGTAAAACGAGAGGTGCATGCATTTGCAGTTAACAAATACATTAATCAATTTGACTCTCATACATTCATACATCTGAATTCTCCAAAACATTTGTCCGTCTGTGAAACTTTCAGCAAAGATTTAAGATGTTCTTTCGATACGCTTTCGCTTATAATTGTTCTTTGCAAGTCTTTTGAATTTGGACATTTCCACCGTAAATTTCACAACAGAAACCGAAGGAATTCGATGACTTAAATACGGATCAAATGCCCGTGTGTCTATCTCAAAACTCCAAAACACACATCTGTATTCACTTACAATTTGACTTTCCATGACATTAAAAACTGAGCAGAGGTAAATCTTCGAAGATCAACCTTCGTTGGAAATAAACAATACTTTCCGTAAGATCTCTGAGTGCCTTTGAGAGAAGATCGTCGGTTTGGTCATTTAAGAGCACCTGTGAGTTTACCATGCGATTATTATTGCTGTTTACTCAAAAGCGAACATGCGCTTTTTTTCCTCTCGAACTGACAGGTGTCAGATCGTGACAGATACTTATTGGAAAATGTCTCAAAGTTATTTTGGAAGCCTTTTAAAAAAATTTCCAGTTTAAGGAGGATCTTCCTGCGATAAAACTCGTAATAGTAGCCCTAAATCATCCGGGTTCTTTTGGCAAGCATCCTGCCAAGTGTTAAAAAAATTATGTTACCACCCTAGGTCGGTCCGTATTGGGAAAAACTGTGCCCTTGTTTTGATAGATAGATAGATAGATAGATAGNAAATATTCTTATTGCCTGTTGTAAATTAGAACAACGAAGTCTCGATAACCAATTGAAACAAAATTATACAGATATTACTGAAAGAACATTTGGAAATACATTTGATAATAAATGTTAGAGGAATAAAATTACGACGTTTCGAAGTCATCTTGACTCCATTATCAAGTAGGGGTGTTAGTTGTAGTTCCGAGATTAAATACAAACAAAGGTGATAGAGTACATTAGATAATAAGTGTTTCGTTGTCATTGGTGTTTGACGTGTCAGTGTGTGCGGTATATGTTTAAATAAATACTTTTGCACGTATTGAGTCCGACTGCGTGTTTAACTTCGGTTTCCGTTCACGAATAAATAGCATTTCCTGAATAAGACAGTCCAGTTTTCCTCGGAATTTCTTAAGAACGGAAACATTTCGGCTAGGTCAGTGAACGCTTCACCGTGGACTTCCTTCATATGCTTGCCAATGACCGAGGCTTTATGCTCCTGTATGCGTTGGTGAAGATGGCGTGTGGTGTAACCGATATATTGCTGAAAGCCAATGATAATTCAGCTTGATTAAGGAACAAGTCTGTACAACGAGAGTAAACACGTTTCAATTGTTTGTAGATTGAAGTTAAATGTTTGAGAGAGAGTAGAATGAGCATGAAGAGCTAACGAGTATTAGTGAAACCAAACCACAGTTGGTCGGACGAAACACCAAAAATAAACACTAAAACTAATATCGAAATCGTTCTGAACAGCTCTAAACCTAAACTTGTCTCGAGATCTTTCGGAACTGTTTTTTCATTCATTCCGCACAGTTTTTTGGTATCAAAGTATTTTCAACATTTTCTACTATATGACTTATGAAACTCCTGAAGGACGTTTTGTCTAGCTGGATTCCAATAAAATGTATTTGGATATGGGTCTGACAACAGCTCTCTGGCCCATTTGAGTTTTGGCTACAACCACGTGCCGATCTTTTCCAGCAGAAAACCGCAATCACCATACCTAACGGCCAGTATCCTCTTGATCTGCTAAGGGGCCGACCAATTAACTTTTGAGGGGGGGTTGGGTGATTTTGAAAAAACATTTCCTGCAAGCGCTTGTTGGAAGAAAAAAATTGCATACAGCCCAAATGTAACAGAAAAAATGTACCAAAAATTCGGAAAAAAAAATATCCTGCACAGCAGATTGCTAGAAAAAAATTTCTTGATGACCAGAAATCACCCACCCCCGCCCCCCTCAAAAGTTAAATGGTCAACCCCTAAAAAAGGTGTAGGCCAGATTAGATCTGTGAATCTTCATTTACGCTTTCCGTCTTGACAGCCGATATACGAACCCAACGGCCCTAGTATAGGCATTCGCTCACCCAGTTTTCCTCTAACGTCAGTTTGTGCGAAGTGAAGATCAATCTGGTTTTGACAAATAAGGAGATCAACTATGGGGTCAGCTGCTGGTTCAGGATATCTGCAGACACGTAAGTAAAGCCATCGATCTTGGTACTTCGACCAATCCACTGCGTTGTAACTTCCAGTTACTCCCTGGAGACACGTCAGAGCTTCAATAGGAATTCTGATGTTTCCATCACAGCATTCTAAGTTCATTTTAACCAGTATCGCGTCAAATATCTGAACAGTATCATTTAGGACGTTTACTTCGACTTCTTCATATTTTGCAGATAATCTGAGCACTATAGCTAACTCCTCATTAACATACGGTACACTACCTACATCATTCAAGCGGGCATTTACCTTGATCCTTTAGTCATTTTCAGAAATCTAGACAGATACTGTTCGAAGTGAGGCGATTAGTCCTGTTGGGGAGAGACAAGCGTCGTCATGTGGGCATGCTCATCGATTCCTTTATGTAACCTTGATAAGGACGTTAACCATTCGAGGTCTTTTTCATGCTTGCAGTTTGAGTACGAGCTTCTTTCCAATTTAAGCAGAAATCGGCCTTGGTTCCCTTGATAGCCATTCAATCCGCATTCCTTTGTTCTTCTACAGTTTCTCCCTTAGTAATTGTTCGCCAAACAATGAAAGCATGGCTGCTTATCCTTCGAGACTTTTCAAAGATAATCCACGCCCATGGATTTGAACCTCTCGCAGCTTTTGATCGAGTGGTTTCCTTGATATACGTCACACTTTGACTTCAAGGTTGTAAAGGCTTGACTGTTAGATCTTCTCTCTTCCCTCTTGATTTTTCCTTTGGCAGCAAGCCCTTTGGCGGTTTCTGAGGCTTTCACTTGATACTCTGATTCCTCAGTAATTCAGTCTCTCAGATCTTTAAGACATTCTTGTCGACTGTGCTCTTTTACTTATCTGCAAAATCTGCAGAACATAGTCCGTGGAATCTTCACCGACACCATATTGAAGGGGAGGCCTCCAGGTTCAAGTTCACGGTATTACTAATGTTCGCGAAGGGTTACCGCTGTGCTATAAAGGGTATCGGCAAACTTCTCGAGCTCTTGCACATTTCCTTCTTAAATAGATTAAATATTCTTTAATTCTTCAAGATAATTTTGAAGTCGTCTTCTCTCCTCTCCAAACCTTCCTTTGAGAGTATCTTCCATCTCTTTGTACGCTTCATCTGAAAAACCCATCTTCGAGATGGATTCTTCTGCTTTCCCACGAGGGCAAAACTTTAATCATTTCATCTTTTACTTTAAGGCTCGGCTGAAGCGCCCACTATGCTTTTAAAGATGGTCCCAAGTGTTTACAAACTTGTCTTGTCACCGCTAAACCTACTCTGCTACCTATTTTGGTCGAGCGAAATACCATTAAGCTAATTAAACTAATATCTAGATCCTTTGCAACGGCTCTGAACCTAAACTTATCTCGAGATCCTTCGGAACCGTTTTTAAGCCTAACCTTCGGAACGGTTTTTGAAGGCAATCCACGCAGATTTTTGCAGACAAAGTCTTCTCAACAACAGTAATTAAGAATCACTTTTGTCAGTTGGTCTGTCGAAACAGCCTTAGGTAAAGTATGCCGGTAAAATCGGTTAAGATAAAGTAACAAGACCAACCTGGAAAGCTTTAAGTAAGGTATTAGTTTGACACCTTGACAGGGTTTTTGGAGTAACGTTTTGTTTGATTGCATGGAAATTTCCTTCATCCAGAATACCATCGAGTTCCTTTTCAAAAGCTGTAAAACAATCAGACCTACGTGAGAATGATTCATAAGTATGAACATCTTTAGTTAAACAACTATCATAGTTTATATTGCATCAAGTATAATGATAACGACCATAGAAATCCAGTGCCAGGACTAAAAGCTTCGTAATTTCGAATTCCGTCATTCTGTCAATGCCCCTCACGGGCAAGGAAGAAACTCAAGATCCACGCACAACCAAAAAGATAAACAAACTGAATGCACGTTGGCTTTATAACACTGCAATCTGATTTTTTTGGTAATTTGTTCGTTTGAAATTTGTTCGTTTGTTTATGCTGGTCAAGTGCCAAATCGAAAGAACGGTAAAGATGTCATCCCCAATTTTTTTTTTCCATTTGTTGCACAATGTTCCCAAAGTTACCCCATAACATAGTTATTCTTCAGATAATGAAGAGCCTACGATGCATAAGGTATGGGAATCTTAGAGATCTTCTTAATTTAAGCGCATACTAACTGCAGAAAACCAAAAATTGCCTCTGTGGCATAACCTTCGTACGGTAATATCCTGAAGGAATTAAAAAAATTCTTTTTTTTCCAGAAAGAACAAAACTTTTTTGCTAACAGAAGAACACTATGAAAATATATTGAAGATTTTCTGGTCACTTTCACACGATTTATTAAAGTAAAGACATTTTTTAAGTAACTCAGTGAAGCAAAAATGTAAAGGATATCTTGCCTCCAGATGAAATATTTGTACTGAATTTCAGTGGGAGTTTTACGTTTCCTTTTCATAAAGTTGTTTTTGTGAGGTTAAAGAGGGAATTAAGAATGATTTTTTTTCAATTATCAAGCGACTATTTTTCTGAAATAAACCTTCTTTGAGATTTTGTCAGACTTAATAGATTAATTGTCGTATTTAAGAGATTTATCTGTCTTCGAAAAAAGAAGGGGCTACCGTGGTAATTTCATGGCAGTGCATGGCAACTTTTGTACTTTTCTGATATAATAATGATTACATTCAATAATTCGATCCGATTCCCAGGTCTTTTCAGTCGGTTATAGATCATAACAACGTCAAAATGTGGTAAGAACCTTAAAAATAAATAAAAAAGTGCCACATAGGTTAGAGTTGCGGGTATATTTCCCCGGTTTTCTTTTTCCGTTTATCAACTTGTGTACTTTTTTTACCAGTTTTTGTTTGAAACAATTCACGGATACATCAGTGACTCTTCAGCTGCGCCTCGTGTGCCACTGTTTTTCTTTTCTTTTCACATTGTGACGTCTTCTGTGATCTATCACTGAACAGAACGCACGTCAATTATGAATTAAGATACATTTATCATGAAGCTCGCTCCTTAGACTTTCTGTGATCATACTCTCCAGATCTATCAGGATCCTCTGATGAGCTAAAAGGCAATTGTTCACATAAAAATTAAACACTGAATTTAGGATTTAACTGAGTTGAACCTCTTTGATACCACTGCAGGATTATTCTCTACAACTGTGGAACCTATGTAAATAAATGACAAGTGCCAGCAGATGTACCCGAAGAGATGCATTATTGTTCTCACAAAAATGTAATTAGAAAAGGTTTATGATATACTTTACTAACGAGCTTCATCGTGCAATACGCTAACTTGAATTTGACAAAGCTATTTTTATTCTTTGTTGTGGTCGTTTTGTTTTTCCTTTGTTTTGCTTTTTGTTTTGTTGTTGGTAGCGTTGTTGCTGTTGTTTGCAGAGAGTATTACATTTAGAATCTTCTTATAAAATTTTCGCTCAGGTGAAAAACCATTGAAAGATGCCTTCCAAAAGGGCGTCCTTGGTAATTTAAGCTGAGCGAGGGGTGACCATACCAAATTAGAACTGACTCATCGCATTTTGGGGGGAGAAGTCAAGGCGTCTTTAATTTGATGTAAACATAATCCTTTGATCATCAGTGTGACCGAAAAAAGGAGTATTTTAGACACTGGTGGTGGAATATGGATGGAATCACAGAAAAGTTACTATGGTTACTTCCTCATGTATTAGGCATATTTTCTGACCGAAATCAAACAGCTGTATTGAAAATTGCTTTGAATGACATGTTATGCTGATTTTTTCTCAGGGAGCTGTCTCAGTTACGTGATGGTAGCGTAAAGTGTAACGAGTTAGCTTCCTTCGTTATTTCATGTTACTCCATGTTATTAAAATTCCATAGCTTGAGCCTCCATTAATGCAATCTTGTTCTTGTATGTCCTCATTTATCACTATTTTTTGGGTGCTATATTTTAGTTGAAGATCATGTTTCATGGTCTCCAAAGCCACGTGGAGACAGAGACAAACTTAAAGACAAACAGAAAAGTGTTTGTAAAAAATAATTTTCATATGAATGGCCATGGCCAAACATATCGCCTAAGCATCTCAGACTTGGCTGGCAAACAGAGATCTCTACGTCTGGGATAGGATAAACTTTTTCAGACGGGATCATTGCAGTCTTTTGGGGATCAAGGATCAAAATCATCCAAAATTTTGGCATCACAAAATATGAATCAAAATTGGAATCATTATGTAGCCCACACATACCTTGTTGCAATAAGTTCATCAACTTTCTCCAGCAGTTTGGAATCTTCATCCCTAGGGTGAGACGAAGTGGACGGCCTCAATGGGTCCGTATGGTATTTCAATGGTATTTCAGCGGAATGTGCTACTACGGGATCGTCGGAAATAAGTGACAGCTTCACTTCCTCTACCGCACCACATCTAAAGCAAAATTTACCACATGAAAATGAATCATTGATCAGCTATTCCAGGATGAAACATCAGCCGACTGCCATCCCAGGGATGTTATGAGATGGACTTCAGAAGGGAGGAGGAAGAGAGGACGGCTTAATTTAAGGGAAAGAAGATTAGTGAAAAAAGATATGAACGGGGCCAAATGGACCCTGGAACAAGGGACAGGCAGCATTGATAATTATTGGTAGTGACTTTAAGTTCTTGATGAGCTAACGAGTATGGTGAAGGAAATACAGATCTGTTAATTCAATCAAATTACCAGCGATCATATTTTTAATTCATGTAGTGAAATATTAAATGTTCCCCTAAGAACTCACCTATTTTGTCGCAATAATCATTATCAAGGTATTATTTTGAGAAAGCACATAACTAACTACTAAGTTCTCCTAGGGTCAGAGACAGATTCTGAGTTAATTTTACTTTCTTAGATATATTGATCTGTTCGGTTGAGTTAAGAACATTTCTCTTCTCGATGTAGAAGCGGAGATTAACTGATCTTATTTCCTTTTTCAATGATACCTTATCGGAATTACCCACATAAGAACTTAAAATAAAGGATTCTACTCCGTCGAAAATTTTATTTTCACAGTTGATAAAGATTACAAAAAATATTTGAAAGCTGTAAGAAAACACAGAACGCGGATGTGGTCGAAATTGTAAAAAAATAGTTATGTTTGAGGATCATAATAAATTATTCCAAATTATTTGTCAACATTTGATTAGCAAGTCAAGTATTGGTTTTCTACCAAACAGCTAACTGCAATTGAATAGGAAAATTGTGGTTTGCAAATCTTTTTTGGTCTCCAGAAGAGATATAATCATCGGACTGTTTTGCAACAGCAAAGATAACTACCTTTATTCTAAAAGCGCGAAATATTGCGATCACACTTGAATAATTAAGTGCTCGTTTCGTTCTATGACCATCATACCATTAACTCTGCTCTGAAAATAATTCAGAACTGCAGAACGGCGTTATTGGGTCTTATTATATACATACTGAGATTTACACACTGAAAAGCCGCAGAGTGAATTTTCGTTCGTAAACCGATGTAAACCAATCAAATGTCGCGTATCGCTTTTCCCACATGTGAGAAAAGCGATACGTTCAATCAGGAGCCGCGTATCATGTTTTTTCACGTGTGAGCCGTACGGCAAGTGGAAGTTTTCATTCAAGGCTGGTTGGCGCGGTTCGTACACCGCAGAAGCCATCGCTTTGCACATAGTTTTTATTTACATTTCTTCCATCGTTAATATTGAAAGTTCCTGTCTCGGCGAAAGCCATGAGTGAAAAGCGTTTCGTTATGCACGATTCATAACTTTTGGATTATAACTTTTGGATTTTATTTCAGCTCTTTCCCTTTTTACGAAGTCGCTTTCTTTCAGTGATTGTTGTTTGACCACGTTTGTTTAAATAAAGCTTGTCATAATTTAAGGAGGGTGTTTAATCTCTGTATGTATATAACAAACATAATACCTCATGGAAAGTGCTTTGTACGGTGTTTACACACTCGTTGTTTTGTATCAGAAATCTCACTCGTTCGCTTCGCTCACTTGTTCGAGTTCTGATACGCCACAACTCGTGTGTAAACACCGTACGCGCGCACTTTCCATGAAGTATTCTATATTTATTGAGGTCCTTAWGAAGCGAGTAATACCCAAGAAAATTGACTGATCATTTATTAACTCGGATAATGACGTAGTCATTAATCCGAGATATAGTTGTGGATGGAACACGGTACTCCTTCCTTCCGTACTTTGATTCTTGTTAACTTTTTTTAAATCCGCTGACCCGTATATATTGAGCGTTGGCAGTCGCACGTACCCAAGTCGAAAAAGGTATATCCACGGAGTGATTTGTCTAGAGGCAACGTTTCTTATTCGTGGATTCTTATTCGTGGATCGTTTCTACACGGTCAACAGCGTAGATTTTTAGCTTGAAGTTCTCACTGTTTAACTAATTCAAAGCTGTTCCATGAAAGTAGCGCCGTCGCTTATTCTCAAATAATTACCAATCGTTTTCACTCATAATAATGTTTGATTTTGAATATTTACCTCTAATCAAAAAATTGAGAAAGAGAAAGTTAGATTTTGTCAGGTGTAAACTTCCAGCAGTCGACTTTTAAATCAATAAAGTATTAATCATTTTTAGAATCAATTTACCTGCTGTATTTTTGTCATTTCTGTTGCATTGGTGTTCTTTAATGTTGTTGTTTTTTCGTTTTGTTTTTTTTAGTTTAATGTCTTGAGGTTTGAAATAACGTATTTATTGCTAGAGCTTTTGTTGTTGTAATTAAATTGTAATTATTCTTAACCCTTTAGCTCCCAATATCTGATTGTTAATTCTCCTCTCCAGCTGCTACATTATTCCTTGTAAATTAGTTACAAGAATTTGGTATTACATCAAGATAACAACTTCGATCTGATGAATATGAGTATTCTCATTACCAGTTTGCTGGTAATGTATAGACATTATAGAGGGATCGGAAGTTACATGTTATTCACGGGAGTTAAAAAATACAGACGAGTGATACACAGCAGTTGAAGTCTGACGAGTTATTGACGGCTGCTTATTAGCTAGACTGCCAACTTCCGCAACGCTGCGACTGTTTGCGTTTAGTTAGAGGTGTCGAATATGGATGAAAGAGGCCATCCAAATCTCTGAAAGATTTAGATAGATAGATATATAGAAACTTTATTAACGCGTCAAAGAACCTTCTTAGTTTGGGAGATATCCCATACTAATGTGGGGACAGAAATAAAATGGATAAAAATTATTTACAAAGAATATTACCTACTTAAGAATAAAATTAAGTCATATCATGCATGAAAACAAATATAAAATGAATTAAGAATTACATAGAGCACAGCAGCCGTCATCTATTAGAGAGCTGAGGTCACAGTTACGTATGCGGTTTTGAAATTAGCTAGTGTTGTGGCTGATCTGTCGTAAGTTGTCAGTTTACTCCATAATTTAGGTCCTAAATAGCACAAGTGAATGTTTGCCGTAAGTTATTGTTTTGTATCTGGGAATGGAAAAGTCGGCCTGTCTTAAATTATAGGAAGAGTTGTGTTTCTGAAAGATATTACGAATATTCAAAGGGCTAGGGTAATGTTTAACTTTATACATTAAAATGCATATATCCTGTAAACGTCTGTTTAATAGCAAATGTTCATAGGTGGAGTGTTTATCTGTGAATACGGCCCTTAGGCCTCTTTCTTGAACTGCCTCTAATCTGCGACTATCACTAGATTTACAAAAATGCCATGTAAGATGGCAGTAGATTAGATATGGTAGAATCGCTGCCTTAAAAAGTTGTAATTTTGCATTTGTTGGAATCAAGTTGCGGAGTCTCGTAAGCACACCAGTCCTTTGACTGGCTTTGTTACAGATAGTATTTATGTGATTATTGAAATTCAAATTTGAGTCAATTGTGACTCCGAGAAGTTGGAGAGTAGCGGTCGTGCTCATTTTCTCTTTGTTTACTAAGATAGCGCATTCTTCGATGTTATTTTCAGACTTATTATTGCTACCAATAATTAAGGTTTGGTATTGTTTAAGGTTACCAACTAATAGATTAGATTCGTACCAGTTGGTTGCTTCCGTACTGTCTCTAAGTTTGGATGTAGTAGTGGGTAGGTCATGACCTGTATGGTAAAACTGATGGTCGTCGGCATACATTGATATATCTCTGACATGATAAGATAGATCGTTTTGAAATATCTTCCACAACAGAGGACCCAATGCAGATCCTTGAGGACAGCCTCAACTGACTAATCTGTTAGAGCTGATATTGCTTCCTAACTTTACATGATTTTTCCTTTTCGATAGATAGCTTCTCAGAAGTTCAATGATATTACCCTGGAAGCCGTAAGTTTTGAGTTTGCTCAATAGCAGCGGTGGAGGTAAGGAGTCAAAAGCTTTTGACATATCAGTCGACATTACGCTTACGAAAAGATGTTTATCTCTGGCCTCTCTCCACCCCTCCACCAAGTTGATCAACGTGGTTCCGCAGCTGTATTTTTTGCGGTAGGTTGATGAGTTTACACACGTGCGTTTGTCGAAGTCGGTCGTAATTTTGGTGGACCCAAACCGTCCTGTCGATTTCTGACCCTTTACCGCCTTATTGAAAAAGCGCTACCACAATGTAACATAATCAGAGTGTGTACACCGCCTGATAGGAGGGAGTAGCCGTAAAAACGCAACATGGAGAAACAAATGTATCAAACCACACCCATAAGATGAGGAGCAGAAGGAGAGACGGTTTAGAACTGAAGTCGGAATCTCTTTTATAAGAAGTAAATTGAAAAGAACAAAGTTTTCCTACTACGCAACGAGCCAATTCAAAGTCAATATCATTGTATATGTATTTACATAAAGTATTTCCTCATTTTAAAACATCAATTCTAATGTTCGTTGACAGAACAGAGCTAATTAAAACGAACGTACGGTAATTCATACCAGAGTCGAATGCGATTTAGGGATGAAACCGAAAAAAAATGTTTTGTGGAACAATTTCTCATAACATCAAAACATACTACCAGCCGCAAAAGAGAACTCGCCGTGACGGAATGATTTAAACTAAATTTTTACACCACAATGTAAAACTAACAAGCCTGAACTTGCATAGAAACCTCGATGATGATTGGTCAATTTGCAGCAAGCTTCACTTAGCAGGTAAATGTTACACACTCCAGTGATAAGTATTCTTTTCCCTCCGGTTCGATATACTCTACGTCAGTAGTATCATTGCTTTAAAAATAATGAAGGAGGAAAAAAAACATAATCACTTCGGCCTGATCGCTCCAAATACATTTAAAGGATCGAAATATAAAGACCAGTTTCTGATGAAAATCATTTGAAGGGCCTTGTAGGATCTTGAAAGAACGCTGATTTTACACCAAGAGATTATAATGTCTTATTCACACTCAATACTTACTTAACGGGCATACGAGGGGGCTTATCACGATCCACAAGTGCGTCGTCGGGTTCTGTATATAGATAGCAAATAGGACTTAGCAATATGAAGTAGACAAACACTACAGTTTAAATGTCTCAATAATGATGGCACCTAGCATACAAATCCATCACAAGGAAATACTAGCAGCTTCGTTGGTTCGATTTCTACCATCAGATCTCTCAATCCCCCTCACATGATGATCTGTCTCAAGGCAAGGGAGAAGCTCAAGATCCACGCAGAACCAAAGAGAAAATCGGATTGAATGCACTGGCTTATAACACTGTAATTTTATTTGTTTGTTTCTGCTTTTTAGCTTCCTAAATGCCCTCTTTCACTTACCTTTAGCTTGATCTTGTTCACTTAAGATATCGGTGTAGGGCTGAATTAGATCGTACAATAACTAAACTAGGCAACCAAGAAATGGCAAGTATCATGGTCAATATCTTGGGCAAATTTTTCTTTACCGTTTCTATTTCAAAACTCGAAAGAAGAAATTGCACTGCGCTAACGTACGACAAGTTCCAAATCGAAACAACGGTAATGATCTTCATTCCAAATTTTTGGTTCTCCTTTGTCGCAGTGTTCCCAATGTTAGTCCTTAAGGCCTACTTAAAGTAAAGCAAATACTTACTTTTAAAAACACAAGATTTAAAAAAAATTGTGCGATAATATCTTAGAAGACTTCAAAAAATTCTCCTGTTTTTCAAAAAGAACAACACTCTGAAAATATTTTTTAAGTACCTTTGGTCCCTTTCGCACGATTTACCAAGATATCGCACTTTTATTCTTGATTTGTTTTCAAGTGACTCATTTAAGTAGGAAACTAGCCCCAAAAATGTCCAAGATATCTTGCTTCCGGGCTAAGTAGTTGTACTGTTGTACTCAATTTCAGTGAGTTTTATATGTCCTATTCGAGAGTCCACTATACCCTTTTGAAAAACTCAGATATTGAGAGGCTCTTTCTCTGAATTAAACCTTCCCTAAGACTTCGTCAGACTTTACAATTGCTTGTCGTGTCTAAGAGGGGGTTACCATACTCACTTAATGGTAGAGCCCAACAACTTTTGTACCCTTCTAGTGTGATAATAATAACATTAGATTTGATATTTCCAAATGTCTTTTCAGGTCGTTTCAGCCAGTTACAGATCATAAATGATGTAAAAATGCAGTGAGAACCTTAAAATCAACAACGTGCCACGCAAGTTAGAGGCGCTTGTGTATTTTTCTAATATTTTTTCTTGTTAGTTAGTCTGTTTTTAACCAACTTTTATTCAAAACAATTCTAGCGATACATCAGTGACACACTCGGCTGTGCGCCGTGTGCCTGTTTTTTTTTTTTGTTCTTACTACCACATTATGACGTCCTCAGTGATCTATTACCGAACAGACGCACAGCAACATGGACCGCATTTGTTACTTAGTTGTTGTTTGCAGAAAAAAAGCTATTACTCCGCTGAAAAAGAGAATGAAATCAAGGGTCTCGAGTAATCATCGACGAAGAGACGGGAAATTGCCTTTCCAGTAAGGGAATAAACGGACCAGCAAGCCCTTCATTTCGCTCGTTGGATACGCGTGGCGAACAAACCGAGTATGGTGAAGACTGAATATAAATTTCGTTTTCCTTGACCAAAAGAAAAGCCGTATGCATGGCTTTTCCTGGTCTTGAGTCCAACATATTCCCAGTGGAGAACCAAAATGTCTGCATAGACCATAGAAACCATGCGTAGTGGGGACCCACTTCGCAATATACTACGAATGACTTTCAAATTAATCATGCAAGTGCGCAATCCAAGTAAATATCTTGATAAATCTAAACCCAACCAAACCATGGGCAACAGTTGAGAAAATTTCTTTCGATTCAAGAAAAACCAAACTTAATCAAAATTGACATCTTTAATACATAGATCAATTATGAATTAAGACGAGTTACCATGAAGCTCACTTATCCTAAAGACTTTCTGTAATCTTACTAACCAGACTTGCCATCTAGTTCTGGTGATGGTTCTCTCTGAGACATCAAAGGCTCCGTTGGTCCCTTCCTAGGAACACTGTAAGACAATTGACCGAATGAAAATTAAACCTCCATTAAGGATTCAAGTGAGTTGTACCTCGTTTGATCCTTTTCAGGATCATGCTTGACAACCTCGGAACACTCAGTTGTGAATAAATCCCGAGTGCAAGTAGGTCAAGTAGTTGTACCAAAAGCCTTGCCTTATTTTCTCACAAAAATATTTGAAAAGGATAGTGTTATACTAAATTAACGAACTTCATTAGGCAATAAGCTAACATGAACTCGATATAGCTCACGATCAATATTGATCTCAGCACAATTATTCCCGAGGACCCTTTACATATGCTTATGTAAGGATGTCACTAATCGGCCTTCGAACAACTGGGTCCAACGTGAGGCATTATTTCCCATTCTGAAATACACGTGACCCGTAAAAACCTCAAGATTTACTTAAAGGTTACACAAAAGAAGAGAGAGTTTTAGTTTTCCCTTTATATGAGACGCGTCAATTTCTCTAAAAAATTCGTGCATGAAACGGGATCAAAGCCCCCTCCTTACCAACCTCTTTGCTGCCCTATTAATCCTTTAACTTCTAAAAATAAGTAGCATCAATTTCTCCTTACAAAATCAGCCCTGAATCACACAGTAAAGTTAGGAGAATAAAGGAAATTATCACCAGTTTAAGAAGCTCTTTTTGTCATCATAAGCATATTCTATTTTTCAGCACCTCAGGAAAGAGAATAGTATGGAGAATATGCATACTGATATTGAGGTGTCAAGGGCTTAAGGTATGAAAACAGTGACATCGGAATATTTTATTTACATAGTCAAAGAATGCAGGTTTTGAGCCACTCAAGAGGACGTGATAAGGAAGACGATTCAAATAACACAACATGGTGGACCCGATGTGTTAAACACGTCCTAAGAATCACCTCCACCATGTAGAAACCAAAAGGAGTAACGGTTGAGAACTGAAGCCGGGATCTCTTTTATAAAAAGTAACTTCAAAAGGATACATTATTATAACAAATTTTTTCCTCCTACGCAGCTATTCATTTAAAAACCAATCTCATTGTATATTTGCATAAAGATTTTTCCGCAATTCTCTTCCACATCTGATGTTTGAAGACAGAACAAGGCTAACTGAAACAAACTTGCGGTAATTCAGTTTTGGAGTCGAATTTGGAGTCGAACCCCTAAGTTGTTTCATCTAAAAAGATTAAAATTTGTCATAAATTCAAAACATAGTTCATTTTTTGCTTGCGATGGTGATGCAATTTTTCTAAATTTGTCGCGTCGCCAGCGCGCGGTGGGAGATTCCGCAAAAATCTCTTTACAAGAAGTGACTTCAAAAGGATACATTATCTCAACAAAGTTTTCTCTCTTACGTAGCTAGTCAGCTCAAAATCAAACTCATTGTATAAAATTATGCATTTGCATAAAAAATTTTTCCGCAACTTCCTTTCGCAATCTTAAGTTCGATGACAGAACAGGACTGACCGAAACGAAAGTTGGATAATTCATACTGGAGTCAAATTCGATTCAGCGATAAAATCCCAAATATATTTTGTCAAACAATAATAATAACCATCTCTCATAACATGAAAACATACCGCATGCCGTCAAAGAGAACTCGCCCTGGCGGAATGATTCAAACTAAATTGAAATTTAGTACAAATAACGAGAGATTTGAAGTTTTCCCTTAGTGCGTGACGCATTAATTGGGTAAGGTAACGAATCTGATCCAACCGACGTCGTCACCTTCGAAAAACCAGGTTCGAAAAGCCAGGTTCGACAGCGGCTGTTTGTACAGCATCGGTGGTGTGTCGGTAGTGTGTCGGCCGACGCGTCGGTTGGATCAGATTCGTTACCTTTACCCATTAATTTCTCTTACTAATTTCTCGACACTTACTTCTTAGTGTTACCAGGGTCGGCCATCCTTTTTCTACGCCAGCTGCTAGGAGTTTTTATGAACTGTGGGCTGAAATGGAGTTCTGAGCTTAGTGCCAACGAGCAAGCAATCAAAACAAACTTGATGACAACTCCGCTCAATGAATTGAATGCCAAAGCTGCTGAGCATCGACGATAAGAACCATGCGGACTTAACGTCACAATCTCTGCGCGCTACGATTGGTCCGTTACAAGACAATCGACACCTCTTTTCCATGTCTCTAAATCACTCGAGACTTTTTCCGCCTGCACAGTACTTTCGCACGGCTCTATGATGCTGCCGCCTTGCCAGCCTCGCGTCTTCGCTCGGCTGGCTCGTGGGCAATAATCGATTGCCTTGTGAATTTTGAAAACCCTTCCTCTACCTGATCTCGTGAATGACCACGAAATTAAAACTAACAAGCCTGACTTGTGTAATTATCCCGACGGGGATTGGTCAATATTTGCAGCAAGCTTCACTTAGCAGGAACATTTTTCACACTACAGTGGTAGTTTGGAAAATTTGGAATTCTCTTCTTTCACATCCCCATAATCCCTTGCGCCTTGGGGGGTAACCAGTCTGACAACAAAGCTAAGGACGCCATATCTGTTTGCAAAACTCTTATATATCATCGTAATTTACATGGGAAAAAACGACTTTTGCTGTGCTCCAAGCTGCTCAAATAATCGGAAAAGAAACCCAAATCTCAAGTTTTACAGAATTCCGAAAGAATCTAAGCGAAGAAATGCTTGGTTAAATAGAATTCGCCGACAAGATTTTTCACCAACAGACAACACTCGATTGTGCTCAGCTCACTTCGTCGGAGGAGAAAAGTCCGATGATCCTGCACATTCGGCTTACAATCCATCCATATTTGAGTTCAAGAAGGAAATTGAAAGTCGAAAGACCAGAACAAGTCAAAAAACAAACAAAGATGACTTCGTTGCAATTGAAACTCTAAAACCAAAGCGCAAACGAGTCAGTGTAAGTACTTCACGATGACTTTGATAAGTGTTTTT